CCCCGCCTGCCCGGCCCCAACCATTGCCCCGAACATGCTCCGACGCCGCTGCACGCCTTGCGCCGATCCATCCGCTGTGCTGCAAGCATCTGCAGCAGGCGTGGTGTGGGCTGCACCACCCGCCAAGACGCCGCTGTCGCCGCCGTCGCCGCCGTCGCCGCCGTCGCCGCCCTGCTTGTCCTTGGACGGGCGCCGCCCACGCAGCTGCAGCGTCCCCGCCTCTCGCCCAGCCGCCGGCCCCTCCTCCCCGCGCGCCCCGCCCGCCGCCGCGCGCCCCTCCCGCGGCCCGCGGTGCCGCGGCGCGCCCCGAGGCCGCACGCCCACGGCGCCGTCGGCTGTGGCCCTGGCGAGCGTGAGCGCGCGCAGCAGCCAGCGGGTGCCGTCAAAGGCGCGCGTCACGCCGACCTCCAGGGCCAGGCCCAGGTCCTCCAGCAGCCCCTTGCGGTTGAGCGCCTCGTGCACGCCCCACCACCCCGCCGCCTCGAAGGCGGCGGTGCGCTCCTCGCGGCGCTTCAGGTAGTCGCGGCGCGCCTCGCGCCACGACTGGCGGGACAGCGGGGAGGGGCGCGGGGGGGCGCGCGGCTGCCCCTCCTGTGGCTGCGGGCAGACGGAGGGCGGCGCCTGGGGCAGTTCCTGGGGTTGTTGCTGCTGCTCCTCCTCGTGCTGCTGCTGCTGCTGCTGCTGCTGCTGCTGCTGCTGCTGCTGCTGCTGCTGCTGCTGCTGCTGCTGCTGCTTCACAGCAGCTGTGCACCCGCCGCCCGCACCTCCATCCAGGCTGGTCCTGGCGCCCTCGCTGCTGATGCGCCGCGGGAGGAGCCCTGACAGCGGCCAGCTCCGCTGCTGCCGCCCCGACGGCTCCGAGGAGCGCTGCTCAGCCCCGTCCCCAAGGCTGCCACTGCCCGCTTTGGGTGCCTCGCCGCCGGCGCTTTTGCTGCGGCCGCTGCGCACGGAGCCGACCCTGTGCAGGCCTGCAGGGCGCGCGACAGAGGGGCGAGCTGGAATCAGGGCCGCTATCACGGCCGCCACTGGGGTTCACAGGTGACTGGCCCCTGCAGCAATGCCACACGCATGCTTGACGCGCGCGCGCGCCCTCGTCAAGGCCCAGTCGCACCCTTGTGCTGCGCATTGGCCACCACCGCGTTCAGCGTGCTGGTGCGGTCCTCCCGCCACCAGTGCTGCCATGCCTGCTGCTGCCGCCAGGTACCTCGCTGCGTCTCTGCGCATGCGGAGCAATGGAAGGGGCTGTCAGCGGCCCGGTGGCAAAGGCGGCGGCTGCACAGCAAGCGCCGATCGTTGGCTGGAGGTTGGTGGTTGCAGTGTGGCGGCTGATGCACACATCTCTGCTCCACCTGCCCTGCACCATGCGCGGCTGCTGTGCTAAGCAGTTCAATGCCCCCCGGAGTGCGCCCCAACGGCAGGCGACACCAAACGTCACAATCAGCCGACACCGTCTGTTGCGCCGCCACATCGGCACGCGCCTGCATAGCTTGCGTCGAGGACGGACAGCACCCAGGCGCCGGCCCCATCGAAGCAGCGGTTGAACACGCCGAATGACTCGCGAATGAAGGCCTTCGAGGACTCCTCGGCGTGCTCAAGCCCGGCTTCAACCCAAAGCACGGCTGGAAGGACCAGGGAGCCGTGTAGCAGTCTGAGGAGCCATATCAGCATGATTTGAGAAGATTTAATGGGTTCACGACTTAATACATCGCCCCACGACGGCGCTCAAGGGTTCAGATCGAACAGCTTACGTATACCAGTGCAGGACATGTCCTAATCACTCGAATTTTAAAGCCATAAACCACATGAGACGCGGGCTGCTCTCATGCCTCTACGTCACGATACGGTAGTGGTGCCCTGGTGCAGCAGCAAGGAAACCAGCGGCGTCGTCTTGAAGTGCGGCCCCGCGAAGCCCCGTTCTTTGGTCTGCACTGCTCGGTTGTCGTTCGCTTAGGTATTTGTGTCACTTAGCAACGCTCGTCACGCGATCACCAGGCCAGCGCACGGAGCAAGTTGGCCCCGCTGAAAGCATTTCCCGGCTCGATCGCGCAAGCCTCGTCCTCGCAAACGTTCTATCTGGGTAACTGTTGGATCCAAGGATGTTTGTGGTTAACTGGTGCGCTGTGAGGGCGCTCTTGGCTGGAAGGGGCGCTGCGTTAGGCTCACGCTCTGCTGCTGGGCCCTGTGGCTTGCGAAAAAGCATGGGACAGTCATGAAAGGACGAACGAGTGGCAGCCTTGGCCCCGACCAGGGTGCCACAGGCAACCATGCGCAGTTGGCGCGCTGCCAGTGTGCCACTGCCCAACCTGCAATGCAACCGCACCTTTCGGCAATCCTTTTGGCCTAGCCCGTGCACAGCAGCGCGTGCCGCCGCTGCCATGAGGTATCCACAAACTTTCCTCATTCTGCTTTTCATGCGCCCTCGCAGGTTTTGGGGTGTCCTGAACTCGCTTGGCCTGTACAACAAAAATGCCAAGATCCTGTTCTTGGTGCGTAGCCGCAGGCACAACTGTCCTTGGGTTGAGCATGCACAAGTCTGGCGGTTGCCAATACCGCCACACCTACGTCCTGCGCCGCCAGAGTGCCCGTGGAGAGGAGGCAGATGGCTTGGGCCCCACCGTTCCCGCCCCTAACGCCCACGGCGCTGCTACAGCAGCTGTCCCTGCACCCATGGCCAACGCAGCGGCCGTGTTGGTGTGCCGGTTGTGATCACCTCGAATAACGGTTGCTAGTTTTGCCTGTCCCCCAGCCTGCAGGGAACTGCACCATGAGTGTGCCCTGCTCTGTGCTGACCGCCACGTCCCTGCTCCACTCGATGCCAGGGCCTGGACAATGCGGGAAAGACGACGCTCATGCACATGCTCAAGGACGAGCGGCTGGTGACTCACCAGCCCACGCAGATGCCTACCTCCGAGGTGAGGCAGCCGCAGCAAGGCCGCGCGGCGCCCATGGGGTTTGCAGCAAGCAATCCCCACCGCGGCCGACCCAGCTGCTGCCCTCACAGTTGGGCAGGACGTTTTTGCTTGAGTACACTCTAATCCCTGGCCCTTGCCTGCCCCCACATGGGCCGCTTTCCCCCAGGAGCTGCAAATAGCTGGCGTGAACTTCAAGGCGTTTGATCTGGGCGGCCACGAGATCGCGCGCAAAGTCTGGAAGGACTACTACGCCAAGGTGCATTGTGCTTTGGGGGGAGGAG